ATCGTTCGGCGGCATGATGAGCATCGAAGGCGGCTCAGCTCCTGCGTCTCCGTTGGCGACGGCGACGAAGTAGTCGGTGCATTCGCCTACCGCCTCCCTAAGAGGTTTCCCGGGGCCCTGACCCCAGAAAGCGTCACAATCAACCCACAACTTGGCCTTCTCTTGCAGCTCGTCCTCCTTCGGCGCTCCCTTCCCCCTCGGCACAAGTGGACGGTCGTCGCCGTCATTGCCCTCTCGCTTCCCGTCTCTTCGGTCATCGTCACGGCCAACGTCGCCGACCCCCACCCTTTCCGCGCCTTCGACGACTCTGCCTTTAGTTGTGTGGTCTGCCGCCGCCGTCCGACCGGCGGTAGCCGTCGCGTCGCCCTTTTGCGCGGTCGCCGTGTGCCCTCCCCCTGTCGCCAACACGTGTTGCAGGGGGAGTGGCTGACGTGGCTGACCATGGCCTGCCGCCGCCGAAATTTGTCCCGCGACCCCCGCGGCCGTGACAACAACCCCTGCCGTGTTTGGGGACCTTGGCACCGTCCCTGCAGTACCGCCAACAACGCTGCGTCTCGCTGCTTGCAGCTGCTCCCTCGACACTCCATCCCGCCCGAAACCCAACCTCACGACCCCTGTCGTCCCTTGCGCGTCCACCATAGCCACTTCGTCTGCGAGGAAGTTCTCAATTTGTGAGGAGCTCGCGGAATCGATGCGCTGCCTTTTTGACTTCGGTATGTGGCCTCTGCCTTTGTTGGTTTCCCCACCGTCGCCCACCCCGCCATCTTTCCTGCCCCTCGCCGAGGCTCCCCATGGGGGCATCTGGTCCGCAAATCGGCAACAACGACCACGTAAACGAAGGCTTCCTTCGACGAAAGAGCGCGCGGAAGAAGGACGTCTGTGACTGCTTCCCAGTGCTTCCACGTGGACGGAGGACAACGTGGACGATGCAGATGACGGGGCAGTGGTCGTGGAGCCGCGACGACGATGGCGACCGAAATGGGGATCGAAGACGACGAAACACGTTGGCGGAGGAGCACGTCCACGAAGGATGACGTCGACGAACGAACGCGTGGACAGAGGCGGCGCTCAAGTCCTTGAAGCGCGGCACGCGGGCGAAGAGGAAAGCTGGCGCGACTAGGACGAGGGACCGCCTGTTTGATGCGCATGAAGGGGAGGGGCATTGTCCGCGCAGCACGATGCGGGAGCGTGGAGCGGCGACGCGGAGTTGCAGGCGCGCGACGATGAGCAGGTAGGCAGACGGTGCGAGAGGGAGCCGTGGGTAAGGAACCACCGCGGTACGAAATGGCGGGCGGAATGTCCTTTTTCCATGTACAGCGATGTGGAAGTACACCGTGGACATGAGTCCCCGTCCACTACAGCCCGCCCCTTCGTCGCTCGCCCATGGTCCGTTTTCCTCCGCAGGCGCATGT